TTATTTAATTTAAATTCAATAAGTATTCTGTCACATAGTACGGTGACATTTTACAATTTTTTAATAAATACTATTTGAGACTTGATCATTTACAATTAAAGTAGTTCTCCCTGTAGAGAGCTACTCTTTTCTTTTTAATTTAAGATTTCTTTATAATAAAATTTGATTTTTATAATAAAATTTGAAGCGGCGTTTTCCTTTTCAGTCTCGTAAATATATTTGAGGGGGACATCAAATTCGAAGCTAAGATGTTGGGATGAATTTGTATTCGTTCATGGTATTTTCTAGCTACCTTTTTTACTTCATCTCTTACCGGGATTATCCCAAGGTCCCGATGGATTTGAATGTTAGTTACATACCATGGGGCATTTACTATTTCCCGTAAAGTTTTAGATTGAAATCTTTGAAGAATTTCTATGTTGGATGTTGAGGCTGTTCCCCATAATTGAATGCCATAGGTCCATACTGGTTTTAGCACACTTTTATATAAAATAAGTTTATTCTTTAGGGATACTGAAGATTTTTTATTTAGTAGCCAAAACATTTTTCTGTATTGAATCCCAAGGGATTTCCTTTTGTTAAAAATATGTGTTTTCCATGTCAGACGTCTATCTAAGTGCATGCCCAAGTATTTAGCGCTATTTGATTGCGGAATTATTATATTATTAAGTTTAATTTCCGGGCAGGTGTCTTTTCTCATTGTGAATGTAACATGAGTAGATTTTGTTTCATTTGCTTTCATGCGCCAATACTGCAACCATTTTGATATACGATCAAGACCAGCTTGTAGTTTGAATGAGGCTACAGACGGATCGTTTGCACTCGCCAGGATAGCTGTATCATCTGCAAATGTACCGGTTACAATTCCTACCGTCTTCGGTAAATCGTATGTGAAAAGCAGATAAAGGGTTGGACCGAGTACACTGCCTTGTGGTACTCCAGCTCTAATATCATATAGAGAAGACATTTCATTTTCATTGTTGACATAAAAGAGTCTTTTCAATAGATACGATTTTATGAACGTATAATAGTTAAGTGGCAGAAGCTTTTTACATTTGTAAAGAAGTCCTTGGTGCCATACTCGATCAAACGCTTGAGATATGTCCAAAAACGCTGCTGAGCAGTATTCTTTTCGCTCGAAAGTGGTCTGTATTTTTTCAACAATTCTATGAATTTGCTCAATGGTTGAGTGTTTTCTTCTGAATCCAAACTGGTGGTTCGGAATTATTCGTTTCGACTCAATTACCGGCATAAGACGTTTTAAAAATAATATCTCAAGAACTTTTGAAAGAATGGGAAGGAGACTTACTGGACGATAGGATTTTACATCTTCAGCTGGTTTCCCTGGTTTTAGTATCATCTTTATTTCGGCAACTTTCCATTGATCAGGGATGAAACTTTTTAACAAGGATGCATTGAAAAGATGAGTAATAAATATTAAAGCAACATCTGGAAGTTTTTTAAGAATTTCAGCAGTTATGAGGTCATAACCAGGTGCCTTTTGATTTTTAAGAGATTTAATTGTAGAAATTATTTCTCGTTTTTTAAATTTCCTAATTGGTAACTCCATTTGGTGAGTTTCTTCTAAAAATTTGGAAACATTGACATCTATTTCTGAATCGCCAGTCATATCATGTGGAATAAAAACGTTTTTTAGATGGCTTGCGAAAAGTTGAGCTTTTTCAGACGGTTTTTTCGCCCAAGTATTATCTGTATTTTTAAGTGGGGGTCGATAATCTATTGTATTATTTACTTTTTTATTTGCTTTCCATAGAGAATAGTGAGATAAGTGAGACGTGTCGAGGCTATGTAAGAACTTCTGCGTATTTTGTTCCGTCTGTCGTTTCAGCAGAGTCTTAAGATCTTTAATAATTTTGTTAAGTTTCCTCTTGTCTTCAGGAAATCTGGTACGATGCCATATTTTTCTAGCATTTCGTTTATCCTTTAGTTTTTTGTGATCTCCCCAGTATACGTTACTAGATTCTTCATATAGACTTTTGGAGGAGGAGTAGCTTCCCATGCTGCCTCTTGAATAGATCTGGTTAGGTATTCAGTCGCTTCAATTATATCTTCTTCAGTTTTTAGTGGCATTTTGACGTTTAGAGACGATGACAACATTGTTTCAAATATAGTCCAATTTGTTTGCTTGTTGTATAATTGACATTTTTGGATCTTGTTTCTAAGGTCTTTATCTATTATTACAATCACTGGTGAATGGTCCGATGATAAATCTAAGCTGGTCTTACATTGCACATGTTCATAAAGGAAGCCTTTGGTAACGCAGAAATCAATAAGATCAGGAATTTTATCTGTATCTGATGGCCAGTATGTGGGCTCTCCTGTGGAAAAAACTTTAAGTTTCAAGAGTCTCACTGCTTTGTATAATTCACGTCCCTTTGTTGTGGTTAGTCGTGATCCCCAGAATATATTTTTCGCATTGAAGTCACCACCAGTTATAAATCGATTCCCTAATGTTGAAAAAAATTTTGTGTAGATTTCTTCCTTCACATTATGTTTTGGTGGGCTATATATGGCAGATATAAGAATTGATCCGACTGAGTCCTCGATCATAATATTTGTGGCTTGAATTTCATCAGTGCTATAGTAAGTACATTCATAATGTTTAAGTGTTCCTTTAATTAATACTGCAGAGCCTCCATGAGCTTTTCCGTCCGGATGCGGAGACTGATAGAAACAATAGGATGGAATTTTAAAAAAACTTTTTTTTGTGAAATGAGTTTCTGAAACTAATAATACATCTACGTTATTTTTTGATAGAAATAATCTCAGTTCAGAGGAATGTTTTGACAACCCATTGGCATTCCATAAGACGAGCTTTATGGGCATATGGTTTGTTTAGAAACAAGACTTACTAAAAGATTTGTCATGGTAGTTATTTGATTCATTACTTCCCGCATTAGTTTCATCATTTCTTTCATTTCACTCACCAATGCATCGCTGTGAAGATTATTTTTATTGGAAGAAATTTGATCTATTTGGTTGGCAGCAACTTGAGCGTAAGTTTGCTGTGAGTTTTTATTTGGAGTAGTTTGACCTGGTTGAGCGCGTGCAGGTTGAGCGAAAGTTTGCTGTTTTTCGTGTTGTTCTTGATGCTGATTAGTTGAGGATACAAATTCAGCATCAGGTTTTAGAAATTTTTTTTTAAGTGGTGGGAAAGTAGACGCTTGCAGTTTTTTATACACTAAGCAGCCCTTGTAGTTTGCTGGGTGGTTACCTTCACAAAGAACACATTTAACATCATTTGTTCTGGATTTTCTTTCGCAGTCAGCCGATGCGTGATTACCAGCACACTTAATGCATTTGGGTTGTCTTCTACATCCTGATTTAGTGTGGCCATAGTGTTGGCATCTTGAGCATTGAGGTAACTCACGTTTAAAATGGGGTGGCTCAAAGGTAACTCGACTGTGGAGTAAGCTTTTAATGTTGTAGATATCTTTGTTATTTGGTTTTTGCTCTATTTCTACAACGAACATTGGAAGGGACCTTTTTGTTTGGCGATGTTTCATATTCCATATATTTGTAGTAGCATGTCCAAATTCTTCTAGAGCTGTTTTTATATCCCCAATATCGACGGAGGGATGCATATTTCTTAATATGACCTTAAAGCTCCTTTCATTTTTGGGTTTGTATGTGTAAAATTCCGTGTTCTTACTTTCTAGCATTTTAACGATTTTTGAATAAATTTCCGGTGCACCGGGCTGTATACGAACCCGAGTAGATGAAATCACTCTCATTTCATATTTATTATTTGCAATTTCGTTAAGCAGATTTAAAAGTGGGCGAACGTCCTCAACTTTATCTACAAAAATTGGTGGTGATTTAAGCGGTTTTTCCTCTTGTTTAGCAGGTTGGTCTTCTTTTTCTTCCACTACCAGTCCATCAAATCTATTCGAATTACTGAGCCAGTAGTTCAATTTTTGTTGCTTTGGTTTTTTCATTTTTTCAGGACTGTCTCTAAGTCTTTTACTACCTTTAACTTCGTTCCATTCTTCTTTTCTGCACGGAAAATCAATTTTGGCGTTATGAATTTCGCTCATAGATCCTGCTCGTTCTCGCTGAGAAACCTTTAGTAAAGTCGCAATGTCTGTACTTTGATTATTCATTTTTTCTAAACTTTGAACTTGTTTAGTTCCAACATCTGCTGGTGAATTTTCACTTTTTAATTGGTGTGTACCACCTTCTTTTACCGGAGGTGGTGTTCTATTTATAGGCATGAAATGTTTTTATAAAATTTGTGCAGTCGTTTTATATAAAATATAAAAAATATATAAAAGAATACAAAAAGAAAAAACAAATTAAAAGATTTTATTAAAAAATTACACAATTACACGATAAGCGAATTGCAATTGGTATAATTTCAGAGTCAATTTACAACACTTTTTTTTTTCTTTATTTATGTGAAGCTTTCAAGCTTTATATGCTGTCTCTATCAGCTGTTTTAGATGTGTGTGAAAAATATTAAAATAAAACTCAAAACAAAAATAATTTTGCAAAGTTAAACTCTTTTTTTTGATAAAAAACAAATGTTTTAAATTCAATAAAAGTTTCACTTATCTTTTAAAATCAGGCACAATTTTATTAGCTTTTTATTTAGAGTCACTGTCTCAACTTATTTAATTAAATTTGTGATCACTGTGTTCCATTTTTTTAATAAAAAACATTAAAAGTTGCGGAGCGATTTATTTTGCGCGCACTTTGTACGAATATACAAACTAATATATTTTATATATTTGAAAAAGAAAACATTTTTTTTATTATTTTATATAACTACGCCAACAAGTACATCGAGCATTTACATCCACTTCGTTTCTTTCGTTTTGCGTTCGACATCCTAAAGTGATGATTGGTTCTATGGACAAAGAATGCCCTTATTAAGAATCAGACAGGTTGTGTTGCGCATCAGAAAAAGTGCAACTACCAGAAATGATAGACTACCAGAACCATTGCACGGCTTGCTCATTGGCACGCATGAAGATTCAAATCTGTTCCTGAAGTCCATTCGCATATTTAATTCATGCTTCCAAATGACTTCGTTCGGAGCAACGGAAATAGTTCACAATACTGCGGCAAATAGCAGTACAATATAAAACATTCATTATCATTTATTTAAAAAAATAAGCAGCAATAGCTGTTGTTACTTTCTTCATGTCAGCGCTTAATTCAGGAAATAATTATTTATGTATAAATAATTATAATAATGGAATATGCCTCTTACGGCTTTTAGTGACGATTAGCAGCTGTTTTTGATTTCACCATATAAGAAATAGAACAAAAAAACTTTCTATCACAAATTACAAATGATAAAACTTTTTTCGAAAGCCTTGCACCAGAATAGCTAAAATCTTACAAACGGTTTCCGGTCGATTTTAAAAAGATCTTGCGATGAACTTCTAACGATCTTTACCAGAATTGCTGTGCAACAATATGAAACGAAAATATAGCACCAATTTCTATACTATATAATACACTCTCTCATACGTATAATACATACCCTCATTAAGATCATTAGTTATCTGCAGCTTTAGATTTAGATTTTACAATCCAAAGCTTATATGTGCCTTTCTAGCTATTCGATCTGCCTGCTATGATATTAGTGGAATCATTTTTAGTTCTGCATTCGGAATCTATATATTATTTGTCTGTATGTGCTTCAATTTTGATACTAAGTTCTTCTGTACTTATGTTTCAATAGGGAATGGCGGAAAAATATTCGAGATTTTCTTGCGTTTTACATAAATAATATTGTGAAATTGAATTATGTTTAATTTATTAAACGGTTTATTCAATACAAAATATATATACATGTATATCTTACCAGTTTTAATAAGAATTCAGTAAACTGAATATCACATTTCTTTTACATTATATGACGCATATTTAGTTTTGTGTATATTTCACTGTTAAAAGAAGGCAAATATATACTATAGTTCATGTTAATTCTTATAA